GGCTGGTGCCATAAAACGAGACCAGAAGACAATACCAGAATGCAAATGCATCAAACTAAAATGCCTAAGTAGAAGGTAAAATAAAACAAAAAACAATTCACTATAGGCAATTAGTGTGTGAACATTCATGAGCATCTTATGGCTAAGAGAAAATCCGATGAAAAAGATCTGTGGAAGTTCCTGAACAGTAATTTCCACCCATGAACACAAAACTTGAGGGAAATATAAATTGTACGTAGTGGGATTTTTCAGCTGGCCATCCTGGTGCCTTCTTTTCTTGCACAACTGGCACTCTTGCACTTTTCTTGCACAACTGGCACACGTTCACACTCTTGCGATCTCTTAAAACTGGGTTCCTTAAAACCTCTTACAACGAGAGGACACACTGGCACCATCTATTGGGTAGCAGTGTAAACTTGGCGGTCTGGCATATTTTCTATTTCTCTCCCGCATTATCCTTTCTTTCTTGGCTCGAAAAACTTCTGTCAACGTTATAAACGAGCCTTCTTATAGGTATTACGCACATTTTACCTCGGAAATCCTGCAAAACCTTCGCTCTGGTGAAATGCAGTTCCAGGGTCACCGCATAGATGGCGCCAGCGTGCCAGTGTGTTCTCTCGTCCTAAGAAATTTTAAGAGGTTTTAACAAGTCTTGGTTTCTCTCGGTCGTACTCGGTTGCAAGAGGGTGAACGGGCCTTTAGAGGGCAATTCTGGTTTGTTTTACATATTAAGAAAACAATGACATTCTCTTTAAACTTGCCTATAAAGAGCACACACCAAATATTTTGATCTAATTCCACCTAAAAGTGAATGAAACCGGCAAACAAAGTTTAAAGTGCGCGAAAATACCAAAATTTGCTAATCCTATTGGGCGAGGTGGTGCAAAGCCATGCTCAGGATTCTTGGGGAGATTTATTTGCTTGTTTTTACTTTTTTAGCAAAGCCTACAACATCGAGCACAGCACACTTGTACAAAACCGTTGCGACATATTTACATGTAGTTTACTGAACTTCACTTTCTACTAATGTTTTTAAAACAAGCCTTTGGGAAAACTTGCCTTTTTCTGCGCTAAAGCACAGGCTGCGGCCGCGGTAGTGCAGGTGTTGTCGGGTGTAGCAGACTGCCGACCATAGCAGACAACACTTTCGTCCTTGCGCTGAGCTGCTCCCACCTGCCTGGTATGCGACGTCACCATTTGTACCACGTGGTTACATTATGTAGGGGGTGGCACAGGAGCAATGTTGCCTGCGCAAGGTTTCGGTTTCGATTTGCGATGAGGTTTAAATGAAGATTGCACGAAAACAATTACACTTATTTTTAAAGAAATGCCGTAGAACCACTTATTACTGTCTTGGAATATACAATGCAATCTACTTATAACAATAATTAGAAAACCCGAAAAGTCATTCGTTATAACCGATTATCGTTGTATCTGGACTAGAAACTGAGAGTTTCTAGTCTGAAATCTCTAGAAACTGATCTTTATAAGCAGGACATCGTTATATATTGTAACGTTATAAGTGGATTGCACTGTATAATCGACCATTAACTAAATCTTTCTGGAATTGACCGGAGTTGCCCTTTAAGGCTGGTTCAAACATTCGCATTTGATTGTGACTGACTGCGCTAACACTCCCTGCATTCCACTGCGTCGCATTGCATGAAAGAGAAACGAGGTGGCGCCTGTGTGCATGTATAGCAATCGAACGCTTTGGGTCCTGAACTAGACTAAAAAGTTTTGCAGTATTTGCGAGATCAAGTGGATGCTCTATTTATGGGAAATCATTGTTTTTAACGTCGTTGGACATATGTCAAGCCCATGGGGAAGAATTATATGTAAAAATCTAGGAAAAAGCTCGAGGTACACCTAAGCATTTCTTACGAGTTCTGAATGCAAAAGCATGCAAGCCGGTCGTCCGCTCCCTTTGCCGTCAACTCGTCCGCTCCCTTTGTCGTTTGCTGCGTACTAGCGCGCGCGCTTCGGCATCTCTGAGGCCATGGTGCAGCGGCCAATGGAACCGAAGGCGCGCGGAAACTATCTGCCGTTTTCGCGCTTTCAACTGATGACGTCAGCTCGCTCCATGAGACAGTTAACATTAATATATGCACGCCAGAAGTGTTCCAGGCTCCCCGATAGATGGTGCCATCCTGTTTTCTCGTCCTAGACCAAGGACGTTTAAATACTCCAGGACTAACATTGTCCAGGACCTGGCATGATCTCCTGCTCAGCGACGCCAGAAAAAGGACTTGTTCCCAGACTGCTTTGTGCACCGACCCTGCTCCTCCTATCTGCTCGCCGCTCAGTCTGCTATATTAGGCTTAGGCTATGTCGGCATCGTGCCTATAATCTGCTTCGTCTGCCCGCTGTCACGGCCAGCTTTTGATACGATTGGTGCCCCCAAAGAAGTTTCGATGCACATGTGCAGTTGCAGCATGACGGAAGGAAACGAATGCGTGCTGGAAGCGGAGCTTCAACAGCATTCTCAGTCCAGTGCTGTTTTCAGTGTTTGTGTGTACAGTGCCATATGTGCTCACTTTCAAGACTCACATTATGACAGCTCGCTCTAGACAACGCTTTCTGCTTGGTGTTTAAAGTGCCTGGTATACGCTGACTTCCTGCTGGCCAGGCAAGAGTTGGGCTCCGAATGTCACCTGCTTGACACCAATTCAGTAGACTTAATTCGCCATGTAAATATGGGGAAAACAACTACGTTGCCATGTCAGTACCGTGGCAATGCAGTTCTTTGCCCCATATTTACGTGGCGGGGCCCATTAACGGTGTTTCTTATTGTCCGAGAGAATGAGGGTACATTTAGTGGGCCTCACCTACTTCCTTTACACTTCGCTCCATATATGGATAATGCAAACATTGTCTCCTGCCACTATAATCTCCTTGCCCTAAATGGCTGCAAGAGGTTGTAGTGCAGTCTATTCCAACCAAATGCGATTGTGTGAACCAGCTTTTGGAGTGTGAGAAGACACAGTTGCCTTCAGACCTCTCTCTCTAGTGTTTATTGTAAGTTAATTCCTATTTTTTTTAGTGCAATCTAGATGAGTAATGTCTGATGCCGTGTACAACTTGATTTTTCTACATCACTGAAAGGTTAATGTAAACGTTTTGTACAACTTTTGTTAGTGATTTTGAAGCATGAACTAATCAGATGCAATTCAAATAAATATGTTGCCATAACCGAAATTCATTACGTAGAAATGTAGAAACGTGCAGTTACAATTCCTTGAATTAAGTTTGCCTAGAAAGTCTGGGGTGCAATGCCAGTAATCAGCCCTGCTCCAGGCTATGTTTCACACTTCCATCACAAACTTCAACTTTGATGTTTTATATTAGTAGTTGTCCACAGCTTTTCGCATGGCCTTCATTTTGGAAAATTATGCTCACACTCATTGATCTTTTTATATCGTAAACTGCTACTTTATTTTCCGCTAAACTTTATGGGATATGTCAGCACCTCTCTTTGATATCTGTGCAACGTTTTGACAATCTCATTGCTAACTGTTCATGCCATATATTTTATTTTTGTTTTAGTATAATTAAAATCCTGAATTTCCTGTTGCTTCTTTTTTTCTTTTTGTGTGCAAAGTTAGGAAGTTTTTTAGGGTTCTTTTTTTTTAATTGCAAACTCAGCATTTAACAAAGTTTGCTTGTGTCAGATTTTTAATCTTCACAAATTGGTTGTTTTATGTATTTGTTTATTTTGCATATTTCACAAAAAAAAAAAAAAAACGTAATTGTAAGCAATAGAGATTTTGCTGTTAAAAAACACTGCCTCTTCCTCCACAGATGGCATAATCTAAGCTCAAAACCAGAACAGTCTGCACAGTTACATACTACTTAGATTGGCTGCTGTCGTGACCCAGAAATAAAGCAACATTGACCCTTGTCCCTCATTAACATTGTTGATAAACAGTCTGAGGTTTGGAATGGCCTCTCTAGAATTGCTAACCCGACACTACACTAAGGGACTAATGTGAAAACCAGGACGTTTTAAAATTGAATTTTTTGTTTCTATAATTTCCATAGCCAAAACACTTCTAGCGTAACAAAAAGAAGAAAAAAAGATGCATACATGGATTAGACAACCTTATAAAGAACTTTATTTACTTCTTCGCCTATAAAGATCTGCGACTGAAAGAGAAGACGGTGCCATTAAAGGGCAACTCCGCTCAATTCCGAAAAATTTTAGGCTTACATGTGATTCCATCTCACAAAGCACTACTAAACAGCTCTGCGTCTTTGGATTCGCGAAATGTGGAATATTATTTGTGTAATCCTAATCTAAACATCGGCTGATACCGAAACCGAAACTTCGGTTGCGTCAGGCAACATTGGTCTCGCGTCGTCAGAGTCATGGGCACGTCACGTCGAACCACGTGGTCTTATGACGTTCGGGGGGGACGAGGGACAGGACACACGACGCGAACAGGTTGCTTCGCATGGCGTGGACGGTGATGGCCCGGGGGAGAGGGAGAAGGGGAGAAGATGAAAGAGGAGAAGGGGAGCGGAGAAACAGACCGATAAGCGCGCAGGGCAGCGCAAACTAGCGCATCCGTGTTACGGTGATCACGTGGACGCCGTTCAGCCAACAGCGGGAGGAGAAACTCATGACGTCATCGTTCAATTTCGCTCTGAGAAGTAAAAACAAACGAAACGTGAGAATGACGATGACATGCCTCTGACGTAGTGGCTCAACATTGGCTGCTCTAACTCCGTTGCATTGACTGCGCTGACGATTGCGCCTCACGTCGCACGCTAGAGTTGGCAGATTTCGGCGACTTGGCTCACTTGAAGGTTTGCTGGCCAGTTTATTAAATATATAGACGGAATTAGATCGTAATATTTGACATGGGGTCTTCCTATATGATACTGAAGAGGGCTACATAGTTTTCTAAATATCAAAAATGAAGCGGAGTTGCCCTTTAAAAGGCTCCAGGTATGGTTCGCTGAAACTTTGGTGACAGTCTGGGAACTTCTTTCCGCAGTGGCAAGAACGTGCTGGGCCAGAAGACGGAGCTTCAGAAAGTGATGGAGAAGATGAAGGACGAGCACAAGAGGAAGGAGCTGGAGGAGGAGCGGCAGCGGGGGCGCACGGCCCTCGAGAAACGCCTCGAGGAGCAGGCCAACAAGCTCAAGCTGGTAAAAGGGCTCTCACTTCCCTCCACACACGCCGCAGACGATGGCACATGTCCCTGAGGGTCCGCACGGCGCATTGCATTTGGCCGTTTGATTTTGAGGAGTCGCTCTAGCTCTGCGTGCATGTATCATAGGAGCGCGTAACTTTTTCTCTTTCTGGTCTATTTGATGGACGTGTGCACAAATGGGGTGTGGCGATTCTTGTAGCATGTCTGTGCACGCTATATACATGAGCCTTATACCTATAGACAAGCGTGTAAGGATCCTTATACCTCATAAATGCATTCATAGGGCAGTGTAAGAATCTCATAGGAGGGATTTGTTCTGCCTCGTTAAGGCTCTGCGACTTGTTAAGTGGCCCAATATGAATCGGGCATTCTGACAAAGCACCATACCATTTTCATACGTGACAAAGTGTTGCTGGCAGGCAAAGACATTGATTTCCAAAGGACATCTGTCAATTAAAATTCAATAGACTTTTTTTTTGTGTTTTCTGGATAAAGCAGCTTAAATTTTGACAGAAAAGAGGAAATGTTCGACTGACATGGATAGTTTGCTGTCAAGTCGTATGACCTTAAAGGGGCGATGCAACTAATTTTGTACTTTGCTCAAATACCACTTAGAACAAATTCCTGACGTTAATGACCTGTAAAATATGCATTTGTTTTTCACTGCATGCAATATAAGTCGCTAAAAAATTAAAAGAAAGAAAAAGAGCAGCGATCATTCCTTCTACTCGCGGCCAGATCACAAGCGGCCCTGTGATCTGTAGCCGATTATATGCCGCATTGTTGGTCATAGCCACGCGCTGGAGTCTACAAAGCACAGGAGATGCGCGGAGTTCCAGACATTGTTACAGTTCGGCTATTGTCGTCATTGCAGCGACTGGACACGGGCAATGCCATGGGCCAGTGCTTGTCGAGCTTTCTATTATCGCTAGCCAAAATCAAATGCTCACGCAATGGTCGGGTCCAGTCTATGAGCCGCATTCAAATATTGTCACTGGGGGATTCTGCGACCCCCAGGCTACGTCACCAAGTTTTGCAAAGGAGAGGTTGAAAGAAAATGCTCACTCTTGTCCTTGAAGTTACACTGCAACAAAGGGGTTTCTTGGTCAGTGGTGTTGCGTGTGAGTATACTTGGGTCCCACTAGTGCAAGTAAACTCGTGTAAAGTGCAAAACATTCCAAACGAATATTGTTGCACTACCCCTTTAAAGTACAATACAACCTGTGTTTGTAGGATCCTAACTTAAGATTACATCTGGGCCTTGTTTCAGCTTATTGTTTGAGCTGAATGTTCCAAGTCTTTCATACATTATTGTAGGTACATATTAGCATCATGGTTTCCACAAAAAGCTTGACATGCTCCTGTCAAACTTCGAACAATGACTGCTAGCCATATACCTTTTCGTGGTTGATGTATTGTCTGTCTTGCTAATTAACATACCGTTGTTAGCCAGCATACTTTGTTTTCCAGAAGAATAAAAGGGTCATGTTTAGACAAGAGGATACAACCATCTTCTTAACATGCTGAAAGTATTCGTAACATTGCACATTTTTATATATTCTTTTACTGTGCTTTCTTCTTCCATGTTTGCGTGTTTGCAATGTGCTCTTCTCTTTGTAGTAGGGGAGAAGAGTAAGGAGCACAAAAATTAGAAATGGGATGTGGGTGGCTACTGTTCACATCAGCATACCGTATAAGCTCGTCCAAGGGCCGCACTATTTATTCCCAGTTTGAGGGCAATTTGCGGGCCCATACACGGATTTAAAAAAAATATCTGCATCCACATTCCTAAATGAACGTACATGAGCGCGCTCGACTGCACTGGTCGGAAGCGCCTTCACTCCGGAATCCGAACTCATTCGTCAGTCGGATTTAATTAGTTTACACACTGCGTAATACGCTTTTCTTTTTTTTTCGCCATATTTGATAGCATGCGCGGTGACTTTTGGCTTGAATCCCGTATGACTGTTGAAGTGGTACTTGCCCATAGCTCTCAGATTCCGCGAAAAGGCAGACAAATCACGACGCTTTGACACGAATCGAAGAACAAAAGGAAGCCTCCCCAGAACGTACAGTGGCATTCGGAAACCTGAGTGCACGCGCGAGCCGAGCCCGCTGAATCCCCATTCCTCGTGCTTGCCACGGAACCCGACATATCCTTTATCTTTTCTCAATGCCTTGCCGCAACATAAATGCATCCCGACAGTGCGGCCAACCACGATCGAGGTGGACAGCCATTATGCCATACGGCGATACGGATGAGTGGAGAGCAAATATCAAGGATGCGGACACGTGCCGCTGCGTGGTCGGGCGGTGGCTAGCGCCACCTAGCAATATATATTCATAGAAACATGATATTACAGTCAGCGCGCCTCAAAAACAAGAGGGTGCGGCGTGCACGCGAATATTTTCTGTAATTTTTTTTTTTTGCAATACTTTGTCCTAAATAGGGGGGTGTGGCCCTTACACAGGTGCGGCCCTTTCACGCGATTATATGGTAACCTGTTGATGGTTGTGAAACAAAGATGTGATTAGCACAGTTCCCAGCTTCAACAGGTGCCTCTGAAATTGAATTTTCACCATTTGTCTTTAGAGTTTTGGTGACTGGAATTACCGAGCGAGGACCTACCCAAAATTTTAATCTTGAAAAACCATGATATGGGTTCTTGTTAGGTCCTAGAGCAAAAATGCAGAAGGGGCACATGATAAGGTGGGCTTCAGTGCTTTGCATTGGCGCATGCGCATCAAGCTTCACCACTTCGCAATGGCGTGCTCGGGGAAGTGGCCAACGCAGTGGAGCATCTCGGTTAGCTTGTTGGCTTAGAAGTCTGGCAGGGGAACTTGCTATATTCTTTGCTTGTTTTTCAAGTGTTTGAAAAGTAGCGGGTGAGCGCTTATTGTGATATTGGCATGTTTGGTATTTTGTGGTATGCTTGCCTGCTTCAAGGGTCAAAACCGTGACACATCGTTTTCGATGGCACGGCTTTCCAGTTACTAGTACAAAAGAATGCTTTCAATTGGGCATGCCACTGGTCATGGTCACCACACGGTTATAGAGACACTGTTTTCATAAACAAGCATCATGTCAGCACACAAATCGTTCAGGGGTCCGAGAGCAGTGTTGCCATAAAGATACTTCGCAATCACTTGCCACATTGCAATGTGTAATGTTTGCAATGCCGGTGTTCTCAGCGTGGTTGAGGAAGATGTGTCACAGTTGTCTGGAGAGAAGAAGTGTGAACGTGTTAGGCATTTCATTATAAGTTTCTCATCTTTGTCTGTTGCATGAGAAATAAACTAAAGGCATTGCTTGTGCATGCACCCCTGTCCATTTCTAATGTGGGTATACTTTGATTATGGCAGGCTATGTTGTGCAGGAAGATTGTGTGTACACTGGTAAAATAGAAAAAGTTTATCGATTTTTTTTGCATGTGACATTTTTGCTCGTTGTGTTGGACATAAAAGCTTTCTTCTTGGAGCTGGTTGAGAATTCCATTCATCGATCTAAATTGAAGATGCAGGTACAGTCGGGGTTGCTTGAAAGAAAGCCCCAGGAGCATGCAAACATGGGGGACTCCCGCGCTACTTTCAATGATCTGAGGAAATGTAGGCTCGATGTGCTAGGAGGATACAAGGGTATACGGGCCCTTCAGCATTTGGTTGTTTGACCTTTGCATTTCCTATGATATAATAGTGAAGGCATGTCAGGAAATTATTCTATGATAGTGGGCACACCTTGCACATGCCTCCCACTGAGTCACTGACGTGCTCGCAGTAGGTGGTTGAAGTAGTTAAGAAAAGGAGGAGCGATCAGGGACCTTACTCCCTGACGTTGTTGTGGTAATCATGTTCATTGCTTTTTACCACTTCGAAACTTCAGAAATAAAGCAAAGTGCCACCCAAAAAGTAATTTTTTTTTTTTTTGCCAATGCTCTACCTTCTAACTGCAAAAGGTAAGCCACCCGTTGAACGAATGCAATGTCGCTTTTGCCGTCTCATGTTGCATGTCTTGGGGCACTAACAAAGCAGAGCCCAAGCAAACAAAATTTGTGACTGATTGCTGATGGAAGGGTAACTTTCGTTCTGGAGCTTTCTTGATACGAAAGGTGAATGCAATGGCTAGCTTATGGGAATTAAATGCAATCCATCCAACTTCAGAAATAAGCATTTTCAAAGCTGTCTTGCTGCAACAAAAATGGACCAGGGAGCATCGAGTCTGCAGTGTGCAGATGCATTTACTGCGCATGCTTTATAATTTGCCTCATTTTTTTCCTTTCTATAAAATGCTAATGGTGAATTTCACTCGTAGATCCGGAGCGCTTTCCGAAATCCGCGAGGGATGCAAAATTCTGCTCCGTGGGACCCGCTCTGAATCGACCAGCGGAGGATGGACTCGCATTTTTGGAGCGACACCCCCCCCCCCACTTTGGTTGTTCAAAATGGCCGCTGCTTGAACTTGACAAGCCAACCAACGCCTCAGCCGACTGATTTTTCCGACGACCAGTGAGAACTTTCACTGCTTAGGTGCAGAAATAACACACGACACAGGCCGGGCGAAATTATACGTACCACGGAGCCCATGTCACAAATAACATGGAAGACGTCCGCATTTGGCACCATCACATACCTTTCAGCAGGGCCGTAACCAGGGGAGGGGTTAGGGGGTTCTGACCCCCCCCGAAATTTTTTTCTGGGTACGGCCCTGGTCGGTGCACTGGCAGCCAGCCGATTTTAATCTTCACCTCTGCACACGCGCAGTGGCGCCGGTCGGCTACCGGGTACCAAACCGGGACCGGTTCTCCGGTTTGCTGTAACTCTCCATTATATGCCACCGATGCACATGATTCATAGGCGAAAACAAGACAATAGACACTTTCAAAATGGCCGCCGTTGTCCCCGAAACCCCCCCCCCCCCCGAAATTTTTTTCTGGGTACGGCCCTGCCTTTCAGCCACCTCGAAGTGGCGGGGCACGCACAGCGATTGCCATCGGTGGA